ATTTTTTCATCTTTATAATACACAACATCCATTGGCCATTGAATAAAATCTTTAAAACATTTTTTCTTAGAAATTCTCCGAGTGACTGTATAATTAAATTGACGAAGATTTGGTAAATATTTAATTAATATTGATTCAAATTTAGGACCATTAATAAATTTTGAATCAAGTGTATCACGAATACTCAATGTTAATTTAATCAAAGCAGACATATAATCAAAAATACGTTTAATATGATTAGTTAGAAATCTTGTGTCATCTTCTAATAATGTAAATTCAGTTAGTTGAGAACATGTTGACATACTCCTCTTATAATAGCAACCAGCTACAATATAAAAAAAGAAGATATTCATTTAAATGTGAAGTATTAATTCAATAAAAATTAACTGAAAAATCATATATTCTATAATAAATTATAAATATTCTTAATTAAATAGCAAGATTCTGTATTTTTCCGAAGAATGCCGTAGTTCACTACAATGCTTAACTCGAATCAGATCAGAGAATATTGACATTCTAGATGAGATAATGATTTTTTATTATTTCGAATAAACTAAAAGACGATTTATTATTAATGAGAAAATTAAAATTAATTATGAATACTTTGAAAAGATCTCATGTCAAGAAAGGAGACCATGACTCTGTGCTTAGCCATCCAGTATCTTTCGTATTGAAACTATTTGTTGAGAAAAATTTTATTTTACGTTATTGTATTAACTTCTTCGTTTGCTAGTGTGATCATTAGGAGAAAAATAGAATACTGATCAGAGAGGAATATTTTGGCGGAAAACGGCCGAAAGAATCGACTACAATCAAAAATATACGAAAAAGATAACTTACGGAGTCTTGGTGAATCACGCAATTGAACAATCAATTTTTCTACATTAGGTACAAGTCCATCGAGTAATATATATAAGTCATCGATACTTTGTAGAGCTATATCAATATGACGAAGAGATTCATTAGGTACTAATGAATTATGTAACATAAGTCCATAAGGAGTATGAATAATAACTTCATGTAACGAAGAGATTTGTGTACCGAATAAAAATTGATTGATTGCTGCATCACATGAGTCGTCCAATAAGAAATCTAAATAGTAAAATCAGAATTATATTTTTTATTACAGAAATGAACAGCTCCAGCCTTTTCTCGCCCGTCTTCGACAAAAATAAGATATCATTGATTCCTTAGTCATTTAGAAAATGTTCGCAAGAATGTACTTACCAAGATCTTCATCAATCGTTCGAATAACAATATGTAAATATTCCATATGTGTCATATCTACATTATATCTTTGAATTCTTCGCAGATCTGAAGAAGAACAATCTATTAATGTAAGATATCGTAAATGAGCAAATATGGATTTGATTATATTAATGTCCGTATAAGCAAGAAAACGTTGTATAATACAATTGACATTTTTATTATTTAATATTAATGATTGGGGTCGAAAATAAATATTCGAATCCGAAAATAAATTTGCTAAATCAATGTAATCATTGTTTATTATTCCATCTAATTTCATCTTGTTATAATAAGCATGAATCAAACGATGAGGACGTAATTCAGGTTGTGATGATGTTGAAAATGAATGAAAAATAGATGGCAATGATAAATAACGAAAAATCTGAAGTAAAATTTCATTGGGTAAATCAAGTAAACATGTTACACCCGGATGAGTATATTCCATTAATGATTGAGAAGTTGAATCTAATTCAAACAAAAAAATTGAATCATTTATTTTTGAATATTTGAATTTCTTGAACAAGAAAGTCATATAGTATATGATCACCTCTATCATTCGAATTTCAAATATGTAGAACAAATCAGATATTCTTCATAGAAATGAAAAGGTGTTGCAATAGACCTTTATAATTCTGTTAAATCTGCATTTTGACGAAGAAAAATGAAACTCTCGGAAGATTGTGACAATGTTTCAAAAAATTCTATCTATTTTGATAGCTAACAATGAATTAGTATACACTTAATTAACAGCAACCGAACATATATATCTTTTTTTTAATCACGCGCGCTTTCTAACACTAGGAATGTATTTGATACATATATTCACTGAAATCCAACAGTAAGAGAATATGATTGAGCAACTACATTTAAATATTAGGAAATTTTTGATTTATTTCAAGAATATACTCTCATATGATTCACATGAATTAAAAGACATAAGAAAGAAAATCCTTACCAATATTTTCAATGAAATCAATCGCATCTTGATCCATTTGTATTCTTAATCTATGAGCACTTCGTAAAAAATATGAATAATGACTTTGAGTCTAGTAATCGTTTACTTTTCCTTTGTTTCTCAAATTTCTACGAATGAAACATTCGCCAAATATTCTTTGTGGAAATAAAACTTTGCTTGACCGCTGTATCTATAACATGACCGCAATACTATTAGGCAGCGGTCACTAGAAAGCATAGAACTGATTGGTAGAAAGTCCATATGTGGTCAAGAGGTCAGAACTAGAGGTGAAGAGTTCACGCTCATGAGCGTTTCGTCTTTAAGTTGAGCATTCAAGAGATCTACATACTGAACCCACTTTAGTTTGTATTCATATGAAAAAATAAATCTATTTTATAAGATATGAACATAGCACACCCACACCCATCTATAATATAAAACTAGTTTTTATAGATTTACTAGTTCAAAATATGTCGCTAATACCAGCCATCTATCGAAGAAAAATTCTAATCCTATGGTATGATTCGACAAAAACAAATATCCAATATAAAATTATAATCAAATCTCTCTTGTTCTATTTATTCTCTAACAATATTTTTTATTGTTGAATATAAAACAAAACAATCGTATACATGGCAAAATCAACACATAATCATGAAGAAACCTCTACTGTTTCGAATGATAGTGATACTCAAACAATAACAAATGAAGATGAAGAAGAAAAACATTTTCGAAAAGTAATTAGTGCATTTCTTTATTACAAGTAAGATTTTCTTCTTATAAATTTTTCTTAAAATTAACGATGTATCTATTTAGAACATTAGCTCGAAACCGAGTTCGTCGTGCATTTTATTCATATAATCGATTATCTGATGCACATAAAAATCTTGTACCTAAATATGAAACTCATCTGGCTCAATTACTTAAATGTATTGATCGAAAGTAAATAATAATAATAATATTTCTAGTTTTCAAATAAATTACTAATGATTTTTGTTTTAGTGATTTCGTCATCCGACAAATCCTTAATGGTTGTGAACATTTATTTAATAATTATTCGATATTTTCAAATTCTGCAGAAACAAATCAAATGGTAAGTTAAACAGATTTACAAAAAAGAAATCTGTTGATTATTCATTCATCTGTACGATTAGTCTTCTTCCAGTCAACTGAACAAGATTCATTGTCACCACCATCTGGTGTAACATCAATGGATATGGATAAAGTAAAAACAACAATAAAACAATTTGTTCGTGATTGGACTCAAGATGGTGAACAAGAACGATTTGTTTGTTATAAACCAATTATTGATGAAGTTAAACGACGTTTTCCACCTACGACAAATGAAGGTGGCCTAAGGTAAATTTTATAAACAAAATAAAAAAGGATTTCAACATTTAATTTTAGTAATCATTATTCACCTATTCAAATTCTTGTACCCGGTGCTGGTCTTGGTCGTTTAAGTTGGGAATTTGCTCGACTTGGTTATGCATGCCAAGGCAATGAAGTTAGTTTATATATGTTAATTGCATCTCATTTTGTATTGAATAAGTAAAATAATCATTTTTTTATTTTCATATCTATTATCTATAATATTCTTGAATAGATGTTCACAAATAAATGCTCATACAATTTATCCATGGATATTAAACTTCTGTAATAATATTACAAATGATGATCAATCACGTGCTGTTCAATTTCCTGATGTTGATACATCTTCACTACCAATGGATTCTCGATTTAGTATGTCCGCTGGTGATTTTCTTCAAATATACAATGATCCAAGTTTGATTATTTTCATATCAATTAATTGATAAATTATTGTCATTTTTTCAGATGATTGGGATTGTGTAACAACATGTTTCTTTATTGATACAGCTCATAATGTTATAGAATATGTTGAACGATTATGGAAAATTCTTAAACCTGGTGGTGCATGGATTAATTTTGGTTTGTATTAAATTTTTAATACATCTTCTTTTGAAAAATAAATGATTTTCTTTTCAGGACCATTACTTTATCATTTTGAAGATATTCCAAATGAAATGTCTTTTGAAATAAGTTATGCTGATTTACGAACAGCTATTCTTAGCTATGGATTTCAAATAGAGGTAGGTCGTCTGATTTCTTTTTTTTTATAGGAAATAATTGTTGTTTTATCTTTAGACAGAAAAATTACCTATTCGAGCAGGATATATTAAAAATGAACGATCAATGCTTCATTATGAATATGATTGTGTCTTTTTTGTGGCAGTTAAGCCTGAATAGACAATTAGATTGTTATCAGTTTCATAATTATTTGACAATTTATGATAAAATAAATAAGAAAAAAACTGATATTATTCGATTATTAACCAACTTAATTGTACTTACATAAAATTGAGATCTATCATTCAAATAAATTTTTTTTAAATAAGCAACAATATTTACACTAAATATTGATTCTTATCAGATATAATGTTTAATTCGTACTTTTCTTTGATGAATCTCACAGAGAATTTTTCTCATTTATTTATTTTATGATATACAAAACAATGGAGCAGATACACAATAATATGATGATAGATTTAAGATGTACATTAACCGATATGTGGTAGGGAAGCGATTCGTCGATTTTTTAAACGATAGATGATTTTATGAACGTTTGTCCAAACTTCAGGTAGTGAAATGAGATATACAAAAGGTAAAAGAAGAGGATTTAAATAGGAGATAAAATTACAATATTCTAGAGCTCGTGTTGTCCAATCAGAATAACTGATTAAAGAGAACAGATTTACAATACAAAAAGGAAAAATTGATATGATAAAGAGACCTGATATGAAAGCAGTTTGAAAAGCCATTCGACTGTGCTTTCGCCAATTACGTGATTGTGTAAGACGTCTTCTTGAATTTAGAACGCGAATGAAAAGACCAAAACTAAATATTATAATACATATTGTTGTAAGCATATAATTAACGATAAATTCCCACAAGGCTATGCTAGCATAGTTTAAATAGCATGGATAACTACATTGAACATTTTCAAATGTATAAGACTTCTCACACGGATAAATATATAATGCATAAATGTAGAAACCTATGACATACACAATAAGAATAATAGGTGGTGCATAATGTAGACATATCATTCTCCATTTTCCTACTAAAAGACGGTTATGAAAAATTAGAATATGCCGTTCAAATGATATCCATGATACTAATATTTGACATATCGCCCAAACAGGAAAATCAACAAATCGCCAAATTTCACAAAAGATAAAAGATTTAAATGGTGAACTACCCGTATGATACAATGATATCATCCATGAAATATCAACTCCAACGATAGTAAAATCAAGAAATAAAACAATAAAGAGTGCATAATTTTGTGGAGCTGTACGAATTGTCTTGTTAATAAAAAAGAATACGAAAATTAGTGTATAGCAAAGAAGCGATGGCACTTGAAGAGAAAGCATAATAACAAATTTTGTAAAGTTTGGAATTTGTTGATAATCTGTGTTATCTTCAGTACTACTATTATCACCCATTTTCTGTTGTATGTTTAATTGAATTTGAATCCTTATTGATTACGACTTGTTCGATAGACATTATGCAACAAAAGCTGTTTGGCATAATTGCATTTTATCAAGAAAATATTCTCTTCAAGTTCAGTCATGGTAATAATATTTTGAGTAGTTCAAATTTATAAAAAAGAAGCCTTTCAAAATGAATTAAGAGTACCCATACGATAAAAAAAAATTATAAGTCCAAAGATTAAAAAAGGTCACCGAGCATCTTTTTCTGCCCTGGTGTTATTCCCTATATTGCTGATTCAATAGAAGATCGTACAACTTCCTCTGATTTAGAACGTTTCATCAAAATCGTTCTGCTATGAAATTTAATATATGATTCAATGTCTCATTTTTCTATCTATTAGTAAATGACATGTCAATTATGATCGATATATAAGAAACAGAATATTTGGTGAAGCAACATCAATATCACGCAAATACCATCAAAGATCAAAAGTTTCGAGGAATATGATTAATGTTACATTATTATTACAGTAGCACAGATTTATTCAATGTCTATTTTGTCTAATAATGACTTTTTTTCTTCTTCTTAATGTTGTATTTCTACATATCATCTTCCTGATAATAATTTATCCATAAATCTTTTCTCTACTACACACAAAATATATTAAGGTAATTTAATAGCGCCATCTACAAAATGTATCATAGTAGAGGGACATAAGCGATTGCACTAAGTTATCATATCCCGTAATGGTGGATAACTACTAATTACAAACATCATTTTTTGCATATAGTAATACTTCTGTTCATTTCTAACCATGGTTGAACAATTGAAATTTATTGTTGAACAATTAAAACGACCACCATTCAATCGAAAAGATTACAATATTCTTACGTTTGATAATTTAACAAATAATCAATTATTACAGGTTTTAACGGATGTCTTTGCTGTGGTTGATCCATATGATCCATCGGTAATTAAATATCTTCTGGTTTTCTTTTTAAATAAACGATATTAACTCATTATTATATAATATTTAGCATAAAATCGATATTCGTGATGAAGAACCGGATAAAACTGCTACTCGACATATGAATACATTAAAAATGCTTGGTTATCGTCCGAAACTTGAAACGGATGTGTATGTTATATTAACAAATTCGATTTAATTTTTAATTTCTTTTTCTTTTTCGTCTAGCAATACATTTCGACAGAATTTAGTCAGTGGTGATAAAAGTGTTGTTTTTCCTATTTTACAATGGTTACTTGAAAAAATACCTGAACATAAAGAACGTGCTTATCTAGGCAGGTATTTATCGAGAATAGACGTGCCAAGTGAATTTTTAAGTGATCCAGAAATTGCTGAACAACATGAACGAGTAAATCAAAAAAATAGTTTTATTTATTTCTGTATTTATATGCATATATATTATCTAGTCTGATGAATTAATGGAAGAATTTAAAGAAGTTCATCGTGAATATAAAGAATTAACATCAACACCACATACAATCGAAGATCTTCGACGTGATATAAAACAACTTGAAGATGAAAAAGAAACATTACAAAAACGACTTGAAAAACAAAAAACTAAAGTACAAAAAGTCCCAGCATCACAAATTGAATTAGCAAAAACTTATCGACAAGAAGTTGATAAAGAAGAAAAATTAAATAATATGAAACAAGATTTAAATAATGTTATACATCAACTTGAACAAAAAATACAACGGCTCGAACGACAAATAGCTGATCAACGTTCATCATCGTTTGATCAATCACCTGAAGGTAATTTATATAACAAAAACAAAAACTCGTTTTAATTATTTTCTTTATTTAAGCAATTATGAAACGAATGGAAGAAGAAAATCAAGTCAATAGTTATTTAGTTACGGATAAATTTCCAAAACAATTGAGTCAAATGAAAATTAAACTTAAATATTATGAAGAAGTAACAAATAATAAAGCTTTAGGACAAACTGAAATAACTAATTATCGAGCTAAAGTAAATATTTCATTTTCTTTTTCAAGACTTATTTGTCCATATATATATATATTTCTAGATTACTGAATTAAATTCTGTCATTAATAAACTTCATGAAAAACGTGTTTTAACTAAAGATCCTACAGCTGATAATTTAGCTGTATTTCGTCAGCAAGCACTTATTGTTGCTCGAAGAAAAGAACAAGCTGCTGAACGTTTAACTCAATTACGTGCAGAAAATGATGCACTTGAGAAACAATTTGGTCAAAATCTACCAATGGGTAAAACTGGTGCGTCTTCAACAGCAAAATCGAGTGGACAAATACCACAAGGAGAAGAAGTATTATTGAATAGGAATTTGTTTCCTTCTATTTTTTAATCTCTATTGTTTAGTTTCAACGTTATGTTAATGTATTACGACATAAAAGTAATTCGTATAAACGAAAACGTCAAGAAATTAATGATATGACAGCTGAATTACAATTATTGAAACGGACAGAAGAACTTCTTAAGGAACAAGTTGAACAAATCAAAGGTCGAATGGTAATAGAATATGATTTAATTTGATGAATTTAAATGAAACGTATTTTAGGGTATGGAAGAACGTAAACAAGGTATTGAAGGTTATTTTTCAACGCAAGAACGTCTTGAAGAATTATCTACAATGAAAATGGAACAAGATGAATTAAAAGGCAAAACATTAGATGAAATAACAGGTTTAATTAAAACATTAAATAATCGAATATCTTCAAAAAAAGCTGAACTTGATCCAATTCTTAAAGAAGTTAAACCCTTACGAGCTAAAATACAAGTAAGATTTCATTTCTTTCATAAAATTTATTTCTTTTTCTCTATACATATTTTTTAGGAATTACGAAATGAATATGAAGCAAAAAAAAGTAGATACGATGCACTTAATGCTAATTTTGAAACCAGTCGATCAACACTTGAATCAGTTCGTTTATATATAGTTTTATATTTGAATATATATTGTTTCGTTTTGTTATTATATAGGAAGTTCGTGGATTTTATGAAGAGCAATATGCTCAAGAATCTCGTTTTCATACATTGAGAGCACAAATGTTAATTAACGCAGTGCAATTAAAACGAGCTAATGATGAACAAAGTTCATATATGTCAAAAGATAAAGCTACAAAATCAAATAGGTTTAATATGATTAGAATTAATTATTTATTTTTTTATTCTTTATAATTTGTAGAGAACAACTTAATAAACAAATAAATGATTGTGAAGTACGTGTTAAAAATAATCGAGAACGACAAAAACAAACAAAAGATGTTCAAATTGATGGAACAAAACAATTAAAATATTGGCGAGATCTTCTACGTATGATGGAACTTAAACGGAAAATAGCCATGGTATAATTTTTTAATATATCTTCGAAATTAATAAATAGTAAAATATTCTTTTATTTTAGGGTGAATCTTAATTCAATAATATAGGATGGATTGTTTTAATTTCTTCACATTTTTTCCATGTGTGTAATTATATGTGAACTACTTGATTTATCTTCTGCTACTTATAAAGAGAAAAAAAAAAGAATATGATTTTCTATGGTCATTGTGTTGTTGCTATCGCCACTGGCGTATATATATATATATAAATGTATTTGCTTGGAAAAGATAGTAACACTCGCATATATCTGTATGAGGAAAAAAAAAGGAAACGGTATAAACATAAGAGAGGAAGAAGAAGAAAAATAGTACAATACATGCGATCCGAGAAATATCTTCAACTCAATGGCTACATACGTCTACAGAGCTAGTTTATCGCGTGTTCGGTAGCGTACAAAAACATTCTCTGTTGTTGTTCGTCCGCCCCCGTTCCCACACGATTGTCAGTGAAACATTGTTCTGTCTTCTCCCACTTCTACTGCCACTAGTATTACAACACTTGAAGATACGACGATGATAATGTTACGGAAATGAAAGAATCTCTCTCATATGTATATCCAATAGAAAGAATACGTAACAATATAATATCTAATGAGATCATTGTCTTGATTCAATATTCTATCTGAACGAAGCAAACGCCAATAATATCTATTGATAAATAATGGCTGATGATAATAATCTTACACGTAAAAAATTACAATTATTATTTGACGATGATACTCGTAAGTTAAACTTATTTTCTTCTAAAAATATTCATATTAAAATAAAAAAGTACAATAATATATATATGCATGTATATTGAATAGGAATCTATATTTTCTTTGTTTTTTAATATAAAAATTTAACGACATAAATATCGTTGACTATCATCTCCACACCAATTTCGATCATCACAATTAAATATATTTGATATACAATAATAATTTCTACATCGATAAAGATTATCAAGTTGTGAACATGTTTTAACAGCTAAGAAAAAAATAAATTACAAACATATTCTAATTATATAAATAGATAACATACGAAAATTAATTGCTACATTAATAATAAAACCATATCCAGTTTTTTCATCGCTATTCGAAATAAATTCAATAACTGCCGTATTTGATTGTATTGTCTAAAAATAAGAAAAATTATTATACAAAATAAAGACAAAGATTAATTTACTCTATAATATGATTTTTTTGTACCACATTGTGATGCTTCATTTTTATTTAATAACAATTGTTGATCTTTTTTTCCATCATAAATCAATAATTTATCACCACTACAATCAATATCCATTTTATCAACTACAATAATTATTCGTTGATTGATCGTCGCTCCTTTGATTGTTAATAAACAGTCAGAATTTTGTGCGTAATTCCCAGATGACAAACTAAAAAACGTACCCGGTAATGTATCCCCATTAAGTTGAATTATTCTATCACATATTCTATCCATATCTAAAAAGATTTAAAAATAATTATCATTAAAAAAATATTTATTTGTTTGTTTGTTTTTCTTCTACTACTTGGAGAACTATAAATAGAACTTGTACCACGAGTATAGATTATTGATGGCATTAGAATAAGAAGAAATATTATCAGAAGTTTGCTTGTCAACATTGTTTTTACTGTATAGAACTTTCTATAATATTTTTATCGTTTTATATAACTTTATATATAAGAACAAGATTATTCATATTAAATAAATATATACGAAATACTTTTATTCTTGTTTAATCGCTTGTCAAGTAGTGTTTCTTTTTTTTCTTTATATATTGAAACGTGATCCTACCTGGTATAAAAATATTAGAGAGACAACTGATTCTTACATTTGTTAATCGAAGGTTGAGAGAGTAAATTTAGATGATTGATATTGTAGATATGAATAATTGATATTTTTGGCGACGAGTTGTTCTTGGATATGTACGAAATATTCTATTAGAAGCTAACAAAGGTTATTTCTGATATTAAGAATTAGAAAGGAAGTAGTTATTTTTGTACTGTTCTAGTGCATAATATTATGTATTGATTGTTTATTTGCATATTGTAAAATAGATTTTGAAATGTTCTGATGCTGATCAAACATTCGTTGATGACAGCTGTTATGTAAAAGTTATTAATAAGATTGTATTGTTTATATGTACATGTTATTTGTTGATATAATCATCAAGATATGATTCCAAATAATGAACATTATTTATTGTGACTATCATTTAGAATAGGATCAGTTTCCTTTCATTAATTTCATTAATGGTTGTACTGTATTTATATTACCATCGATTGAAATTCTATTTAAGAATACTGATTTTGTTTAACTTAACAATTGCAGTGAATAGTTGTATTTTTTTAATAGCGATATTTGTTAAACGATAGGCAACAGTTAAGAAAACGAGAAATTGATGACTACCAATAAACATTAGATATATTAATGATACATATATATGTCGTAATTAATAAAGGAGAGTGAGGATTTCTTATTTAAATCTGTATTTAATAGGTAAACTTTTCCTTTCTATTGGTATAATACTAGTTAGATTAGTTATACGACAACTTTACAAATTACTCTGTTAATTTATTTATATGAAAATAAAATTATGCTGAGAAAGTACACAAGTTTCTAAAAGTTTTTAGATTGCCTCGAATTAAAACAGATCCTATTTGTCTTTATTTTATGCAAGCAACATAGTTGCCATTTATGTCGCTACAATCAATGTTATTTTCTGAATGTCTGCAGTTTTCTATAATGATCGTGACTGTACAAACAAAAATATTATGTAAAAGAATCGTATTTGATCCATAAAAACTTGTAATCTTAATTAGGTAGATAGAAGTATTACATAAACTATGCTATACAACCGACTCCATATCGTAAATCGACTGATTTTTAAATCACGAATAAATGCGTATAGAAATTCGGTAAATCGTAATTATCTATTGATGTAGCTAATTTTTCATGGCATGAGTAATTTATATGTATTTAGAAAGATTACTATGGTTAGATTGAAAAAATACAATGGCGAATATCTGATTGTAGCATTTAAAACATTCTCTAGACATAGATCTGAAACGAAGATATTCTATAAAAAGAAAATAAATTAAAATTAATATTTATTAGATTTATATATATATAAAACACTTAGAAGAAGAACGTATTTTCTTTTCTATCAAAAGTCGCGTCAAATCTATTAGGGAAATAGTCCCCAGATAAAATTTCATTGATCAATGACATTTTTGTTGAGAAAATCTCAGAATACATAAATACAGACTTGACCTTACGATGATGCTTTTATCTCCATTTGCTATAATTATAAAACTAGTTTTTCTTATAAACAAATTTTGTAAGAATTTCTATGAAACTGTTTTTCACTATGAAAAAAATTCTAATACTTTTAATTTTCTCATTGGATAATAATAATTTTCTACATCGAAAATAATCCTAAATATAAACTTACATGAATATAAAATCTTGATCAGTCAGTCTACCATGGCAGTATACAAATCATTACTCTCTCAATGATTTATTTATGCTTGGTATCTCATAAGAAGAAAACAGTCGAGTTGTTATTCGTTTGGAGAAAAGAAAAGACGATATCAACGTATACGTAGTAGTGGATTTTCTGTTTCTATCATATATCTTTACATCTTTTTTCCTGGAGGGAAACCATCAATATTCGCTCATATACATATCATTCCTTTTCTCGTCGCCTTCTTTTTTGTGTCTCAAACAAGAAATAAATAGAACATTCTTCGTCAACTCTGTCATAACGTCAGCGGAAACGATGGGACTAAATGAATGAGTATGCATACCATAACATAAACTAGTACTATCGTCACTAACTCCGTACAAATATAGCATATGAGAAAGAAAACATATAAAACCGCATGGATTTTTGTCGTCAGTTATTTTCCGCGACAAGACGACAAACAGTCTCGTTCCCTATCGTTATCTATCAATACCAGCTAGTATTATAATTATTCATATCCAAACCTTATTATTACTCTTATTATTACTATTATTATAATTATTATTATTTTACATGGAAAAAGAGAATTCTTGTATTAAATTCATTTTAAAATTCTCTTTTTCTTTTTATTCTTATATTTAATAAATTAATTAAATATGAATATAAACGATTTTCTAGCGGCTCCTGAAATTGTTCGTCGTCTTACTTCACAAGATGCATTTGAGAACGAGACTGTTACATTTACATGTACAGTACAGGATGTTGATAATACTAATGAAGATGAACCTTATTCAATATCATGGTTTTTTAATGATAAACAAATTGAATCAAATAATGAAAAATATTCAATTGATGAAAATCCGAAAACAGGCATTTGCTTATTAACTATAAGACATATTGTACCAGATGATGAAGGTGCATATCGATGTGTAGCAACAAATCAATATGGGTCATCAGTTACTACTGGATTTCTTGCAGTTTTAAGTAAGCAATTCGATTTTTTTATATAATCATAGTACAGGAAAAATAATATTTTTTAGGGAGAAAACGATCTCAGTCACCATCTCCTAGTCGTAATGCAAGTCCGAGTCGAGCATTAAGTCCATCAAATAATCGTTTACGTGATCGAAGTGCTTCACCATTACGATATATTAATATGCCTATGTCAAAATTAGCAAGAGTTACTGAAGAACTTGAAAGTCTGATTAATCCATCTGCAGCAATTGTTCATGCAGATGAAAAAATAAAAGAACCAATTAAAGAATCGGAAGAAGTACCAACATCTAGTCAAGAAAATGAACCATCTATAACGGAAACTATTAAATTAGAAGATAGTATTAATCTTCCACAAGCTCCCACAACAACTGTAACAACAGAGGAAATACCAGTTTCGATTAAAACAACAGAAGAAGTACCAACATCTAACGAACAACAAGAACTACCTGCAACAACAGAAGACATACCAGTAACGATTAAAACAATAGAAGAAGTGCCAGTATCTATTATGCAAAAAGAATTACCTGAAACAATAGAAGAACTACCAGTAACGATTAAAGCAATAGAAGAAGAACCAGTATCTAGTAAACGAAAAGAATTACCTCCAACAACAGAAGAAGTACCAGAATCTAATAAACGAAAAGAATTATCTTTACCAGCAACAGTCGAACTTGAGCAAAGTATTATTCCTTCTCCTACGATTTTAACGCCAGTCACAATAACACCAGTAGAAGAAAATAAATTAGATATCAGTACAATTGAAGTAAGTTAATCAATATTTCTTTTTATATTTTGAAAGAAAAAATATGACAATGATATAAAAGGTCATTCATGTTTATTTACTGACCATGAATAACCGAATTATTAAGTACTAGTGATACTATTTTAATGAAGATTATTTATGCTCTATTGATAGGGAATAAAACATTCTCAGTAACGCGTATATACATATAAAATAATACGTAGATGTAAGGATGTACAGCATTATCAGACATGAGAGAGTACAACTGTCTAAAACAGAAATGGCTTCAATGAATACATTTATAATCATTCTTAGATAACTTATTTCTTGTATAAACGAATTGCAATATATCTAGCAAGATAGACTTTTTTCTTTAATACACAACATTTCTGATTATTAGAAATTTGCTAGATTACAAAAAAAGCAAATGATGTTTGACGTATTTGCTTGTTTTTTTGTCATCCATTATAAATAATCGTATCGAGCATGCCATAACATATCAATTTGATAACGTTGACATCGATTTCTTTCCAATCTTTTGTCACTAATTCAGATCAATATTCTTTATTAAACAATAATGCATTAAAACTTTGCATTAGTCAGTATGAAATTTTTCTAGTTATAGTTTTTAAATAGTCTTGGTTATCAAATAGAATACTTATTATATTAAGAGTAGAATATTAATAGACCAACGCATGCAAATATATAAATATATATACATGTATTATTAATATCTACACGATTGAATTGACGTCTGTTGTTGTTTACTTATCGTGTTTTTTGATGAGGCTGATTAAGTGCAGATGGAATGTCAAACATAAAGCGAAGAAAAAGGAAAATGAAGATCAACCATTCTCGATTCCCCTTCATTTTCTATTGTCACTGATAGTGACATAGCAGCCATCTTCACCACATTATGATGTACATGTCAGGCTTGTATTTGCCTAAAGCATCGTAGATAATAACTTCATCACTAACAGTAATGATATGATAGGGAATCATTGTAGCACCTTATAATCGATCGTCCTTGCACATGCTATTTCCTAGACATCAGTATTTATATAAATATATCCCAATTGTGTGAATATGTATTGTCATTTATTTGTTACATCATATTGTATAAAGTCATAGTTATCAAGAGAAAAAAAGATTTTTTTATCTGAATTATGGAACAATGGAAACGATATGATTTTTCTGATCCGGCTAAAAAATCGGAGAATAATGAACTTGTGAGAAATAATAACAAAAAGGAATATTTTTTAAATATACTATACAATTTCTTCTTTCAAAAAAATTAGGAACAAGTACAACCAATTATTGTCTCGAAATTACCTTCTATAGTACGAATAACCGAGGGTGAAGATCTTGATATTAGCTGTTCCATTACAGGTATGATTTAATATTATTATTATTGATTATAATGTCTTTTAAAAAAAAGGTGTTCCTGAACCGGTGATACATTGGACTAAAAATAATGTTGATATTCGAGAAGATCATCGTATTGATATTTATTCCGATCGTGGTGTACATCACTTAGAAATTAGTGATGTTTTAGTGTCTGATCAAGGTCTGTATACAATACATGCAGAGAATTCATTAGGTACAATCAATGCCGATTGTCAAATTGAAGTTATTGAAAATGTTGATAAAGTTAAACGATTGAAAGTCGAAGGATTATATACTTATGGCTCACGGTAAATATATATATATCTATTTTATTAAGAAGAAATTCAAGAATATTTTTCTTTGATTTCAGCCAACAAACATATAAAGCACCAGAATTTCTTATTAAACCAAAAAATCGTATAGTTCACGAAGGTGAACAATTTCAAATATGTTCAAAAGTGATTGGTAAATATATATTTAGAATATTATTGTTTTTATTTAATTATATATATATTCTATAATAACAATACAAATAGGTAATCCAGCACCACAAATTCTTTGGGTTCGTTTGGATAAGCCATTAGAAGATGATGGTTATCATAGAATTTATGATCGTAATGGTGAAAATTATCTTGAAATTCCAAAAATTTCTATTCTGGATGCTGGGGAATATTCTTGTATTGCTACAAATATGATGGGAGCGGCTTATAGTAAATTTGTTGTATCCGTTGAAGGTAAATTAATGCTATAAAATTCAATAGAAACAAATAAAATAAATAATTCTATTTTTTTAGCGATGACTGAACCAGAATCAACTAGTTCAGAAATGGAAGAACGTTCGGCTAATGTCTCAGATGTTGATACAAATGCTGTATGTAATCGCTAAATATTCCTATTAATCAATAAGGAATTCTAGAAAAAGAAAAATAACTATATTTTTATTTTCATTCGTCACGATTTGTAATGACAGAAAAAATTACTATTACTCGTTAACACTTATTAGAATTTATTAAGATTAATAGATTCTATTTTGAAATATTCAGTAACAAGACACATATACAGTAGAATTATCTTCAATAACTTTTGAGTTGAATCCGGTACATTCATTTCTAATAATTTTCATAAAATTAAAGAGACGTTTTTTTCGACGTATAATAAATAAAATTTATATGGATGTATATATGACTAGGTGGTCGATTTTCCTCGATCAATTGCTTCACAATTAATTGATAAACATGTACGACAACATCGTCAATTGAAATTATCTGATCAATCCGATGTGGTATATTATAATTAAATGAAATTTACTTCTTTTTTCTACTTCTTTTTTTTATTATATAGGATTTTTTCTTTTCTGATTTTATCTTAAAAGATGATTTTCGTGATGAAGCACGAGATGTATTTATGAATAAAGGTGATATGGTTGAAATAGTCGATATTGATAAACAAGATAAATGGCTTGTTAGAAATAAGAAAAATTTAAATCAGGTTTGATTGAAAATCTAAATATTGACTTATATTATTATCTAGGAAAATATAGGATCGAAAAAACAAGTAACAAGCTAAATGATATTCAGTGGAGGATCTAGGAGTTTGGAAGGGAGGGACGACCGCTTCCATCGCCCCCCCCCCCGCTAAATCCGCCACTGACGATATTTTATCGTATTAATTTCTATACCATTGAGATTTCCAGACATTGATATAGCTTCGAGTGCTTCTGTTTGTACAGAATAATTTAAATATTTTTTTATTTCTATAGATTTGTTATGTACCTCCAGAATTTCTTGAAATGGTACCTGATATTGATATGAGTCCAACACTATCAAATTTAGCTAATCTTGATACCATTCAACCAAGTAAGTAAAAATTCAAATGATACTTTTGAATACATTCCTATTGTTAAGATACATAAAAGTAATCATAGCTGATATTCTTTTGTAGTTTGATCTTCCCAAAGACATTCTTTTAGCACATATGATATTTATTAGACCATAGAAAATTTTTGTTCTGTTCTTCTTATTCTTGTTTATTGTTGTTAATAGAACAAACTAGAAAAAATTAAGATATTATTCTTTGCTATGTTAGTTGGTCCATATTATTATTAGTTATTTTACATAGACACGAATAATTTACAAGGTTACTTTTTCTAAAATAATTTTCGAAATTTTCGTTTATTTCCTCATCTGTCTTAATTAGATTGACAATAAAAAGAGATTAGTTTTCAGTTATTAACTTTTATCTAATCAAGAAAAGACAAAGAAATGTTTTTTTCTTATACATTGACATATTTATTCATTTTATGATTAATAGAAAATTCTAGCAAAAATCAAAAAAACCTTCTGCCTACATATATATACCCATTTATCTTGACCCACCCACGTATTTCTTATCATAAGGAAATAGAAAAATGCTCATCATAGACACATACAATAAGGAAGCAAAGAAGAAAAAAAAAGGAATAGACAAGATATTAGTACCGCTGTTTTGCTTTTTTCTTACTCTCATTTAACCTCAGTATCCATGCCGTTAACACATATAGTAGTGCCCGATGTCGTTATTGTTGTTGTTGTTGTTGTTTCCTTATAAACCCATTACAATCATCGATGTATATGAAGAGAAAAAAAAAAGAAATTAGTCATTGGTCTCGCTTTCGCTTCCTACTCTTTGGTAGATCGTACGTACATATACATACATACATATATATATATGTAACATAAGAAGAAAAAAAGAAAAGGAAATGTACGGGTACCACAAAGAAAATGGGTGTAGATAACTAGCATTTGTTTCTTTCTGTATTTTCTATATATGTGTTCTTTTTCATCAAGGATAGCAATAGAAACAGTTTCTAATCCCTATAAATTGACGGATATCTTATTGTTTTTTCATTGCTGTTTCTCGTCGAATTTCTAGTTGACGTTTTTTGTCTTTAGTAATTGAGTACGCGTGTCGGTTGCCTTTTATGCCTGTTTGACGAACGTCGAAAAGCATCTAGAAACAAAAAAAAAAGGCTACAGTACATATATTTGCCTTCAACTATCTATATCATCGTCTTCTCGGTCGATCAACTTTTTTTTTTCTTCTTTTTTCTCTGTTCCCTTTACGGATAAGCAGATAACAAAAGGGTAAGTTCTTATCGATTCTATGCCAATATAGTAAATAGTTATTCTTCTAGATAAAATAGACAAAAAAAGGCTAAAAGATATTCATTGATTTTATTTTAATAAACTACCTAATCAATAAATAAGCAAAAGAATAAATAAAATATTTAAATATTTATAATAGGATATTGATTTCCAGTTAAAGAAATAAGTATTTATTAGACTTATCATATTAACAAGAGTATGAAATAGATATATAGGAAGACAAGACGTAGATAAATAGCTGAATATAGATGGGCTTTTGTTTCATATGTTGAGAACAACAATCAGTGTCAAGACTATATATTATACATATTCTAAGACTGACATAGAAACGCGTAGTGTTCTTATTATAGCATTTTTCTTCATCAATTTTTGTTTCTTTGTATGGGAATATTGTTATAGAGAATAGATGTAATTGACAGACAGGTAATTGTTATGAATTTTTCAAGAAAAAATAACCTAATATTCTTTTTTTAGTAAGTATAACTAACAAAATCATTTGATTTCATGTTGATATAATTATAAGAATAATGAGACAGCTGTTATCCTTTGGTCATAGAGTACAGAGATGAATTGATTGCTCAAACAACATATCCTTGTTCTTTTCTCTTTTAAGTTCATTTTTAAACCATATACTTCTGAATAAGTATTGTTTATTTTTCATAAGAAGAAAAAAAACTTGCTAACATCTGTTAATTTTATGATAAACCAGAAGTTTCTGCCTTGGCAAAGGTTACCTAAGTGCATAATGGATTGTTGACAGAAACGAAATGTTTATTTTAGTTAACATAATATTACATATTTTTTAAGATATCTTAGTATACTTAAAATTGATTGCATTATAAATCATCAGAAGATTTAAATATTGACAAATCATCATTTATATATAGGAAATCACAATAATAAGAAGGAATGAACAAGTAATTAATTATTAAATTAATCGGAAAATATTTCTAATAAATTAGTGAATATGTAAAGGACAATACTTGTTAATGGAATTGTTCTTTTGTCGATGATTATATGAAATCGTTCAGAAATTCTTCTACTGAGATTATGTTGGATAGTTTAACATAAACAACTTACGTAAAACTTTTCTATAGATGAACACTATTACGATATTATTCTATTCAATATAGCCGATTGATTAGAAAACATATTCACTAATTTATTAGAAATTCGAAAACTTTGTTCTTTTTTTCTTATTAATATACTTAAGTTTAGAAATAAATATTGTATTGTATTTGATTGAGAGAATTTTTGTCGAGAGCATTTATTTTAAATCTAAAATAAAAATATTTTTATTATATAAATTGTGATTATCTATAAGATAGAATATCCATCGTGATAAATAATTCTCTTATGTCCGATAGAAATCTTTCGTCTTTTGAGTCCTATTTCTAATCTAATTATTTTTAATTACAATAATAAGTTATTATAAAATTCCTCAAGAGTATCAATATAAGAATAATCTTTTTCTATTATAAAAAGAAATTAATATCTTCACATGAACTTTGAATCCGAGTTAGATAAACCACCACCTTTCAGCTGTAATAGTCTATGTATAGTTTAAAAAAGATTATAAAGAACTAATAAATCATTGTCGATGTTAATGTCAGACAACTATCATTTTTCATTATATGAGAACTTTTATCCATCATCTGGTTCTCATTGTACCTGAATATACTCTATAACCATGATATAGCGATATCTATCGATACTATAAGAAAATATTCTATGTTAAGATTTTTTCTGCTAAGTTTTATTAACAAATACTCAAGTCAATATTCTTCTTATTTCATTTTTAGTTGTACCTAGCAAACGAATATTTACAAAAAAGTCCGGTGTAGTGACTAGCAATATCGACAAACGATACAATCCACTTAATCAAGAAGAACAAGATTCATCATCTAGTAGTGATGATTTAAAAACAATGACAGAGGTTTGTTATTAGATTTTTTCATGTATATAAATATAGATATTTATTAAAATATATTATCTTAAAGATAAGGCCAAAAATAATATAAAATGTATAGCTAGTAATAGTATTTTCTGTCTTGTCATGTCAATTCTTATTGACGAGAGAGATACAAAAATAGAGGCGGAAATAAAAGATAACAGCAGTCAAGAAAATCTACTAGTTGACAATTAATTAGATGCTGATGTATAAGATGCCAAATCATCAAGGATACAACCCGCCTACATCTGAAAAACACCTAACTAATGAGTCATTATTTATACAGTAATCTAATATATATATATACAAATTATAATCTTAAATGAATATTATGACTCAAATAAATCGATTTATGAACGTTTTGTTTTAGGAAGCGGAAGTATATTATGCTAATTCTGATTATGTCCCTATACGTCCTGATGGAATAGCACTAGCTGAAAATCAACTTGTCGATGTGCTTGATTCACATGATCCCGCACAATATCTTGTTCGTACTCGACCTCGAAAAGATGAACGACCAAAAATAGGTTGGGTTGAAGCATGTTTTCTCGAAAAGAAATCAACAAATATAGGACAGGTGAGTAAATATAAATTTCATCTTGTTTATTTCATTACTTACGCATATCACTACTGATGTTGCCGTCGTTGCTGTTGCTGCTGCTGCTGTTGTTGCTGATGCTGATGCTACATTCACATTCTTACTGTATAATAATGGTAAAACGATTCTCATCAAATCGGAGAAAAGAAGCGTATGGACACTATACTAAGCGCCACTTTTTCTCGTCGATATTTAGCGCGCAATATGTAAATATAAATATATATATATATATATATACATAAATGATATGGTACGTGAGCGTTAGAAAAATAATGGATCAATAGCCTCTCGTTGATGTATGTTTCATCACATATTTATCTTTCTCCTTCGACTCGATTAGATGATAAACAACAAGTGGAAGCGACAGAATAGAAATCGAGAAGGAAACATGACATTTTCTTCAGGCATTTACTAAGAAAAGAGACGAACGATGATTTTCTTTCCCTCTCATTATTGTACATGACGGATGTATAACCAACCTGCTCCTCTCTATCTCTTAATAAGAAATAAAGAAAAAAAAGAAAGCGAGAAGCAATCGTATTATTATTAATAGGAAGCAGAGAAGAGAATGAAAAGCTACCGAGACAGCCGATGATGTGACAAAGATGTTGGTATGAAATGATGTGCCTGGTGTTGTTATTGATGTTGTTGTTCTTATACCTGATATAGCTTTCTCTTTTTCTTTTCTCGCTCTTATATTTTTTTTATGGGTCTTCTTGTCTGAAACATATATCCTCGCTTGATTATCGTTCTCGTCATTGTGAAGTTACGCAAGCAAGAAGCATCTGTATAAATCGACTAGGGAAAAGAGAGGGTGGTTATCACTAATATTCGCCTGTCGTCTTCATTTTTGTCGTTGTCATCTTATGAAGATAAAATAATTATATTGAAGACACAAAAAAATAGAAAAAAACCAAAATAGCAAAACAGTCCATATTCGGAAATTTTTTCATCTTATAATCTATATTAATGTCGTCGCCAACGTGGAATCTAGCAAATCTATCGTCATTCGTATTCGACCGTGATCGTTATCGACGTAGTGTAAGCGAACAAAGACATATTGTAACAACTCACGAGTATCATAGTTATACACGTACTGAATCACCTTGTGAATATCGAAATTATTGTGAATATTGTCCTTGTATAAATTGTCGCCGTTATCGTCAACCATCATATCGACATCGTATGAGTCGTCGACAATCATCAAATTTTCCTCCAAAAGGGCATCAAGAATATTATTCTAGTGCACATTCGATAAGAGATGAAATAGAACGAGGTAGTCCAACAGGTATTGAGATATATGTACATCAGCATCCACAATCACCACAATCACGATATCAGCAGCAGCAACAACAACGACATCCCTATCAACCACATCATTTTCATGATACTAATGAATATGATAATCAACGACAATCACGTCTATTGCAGATTAATCGACGCAGCACACGTGAAGTTCAACCAGGCGATCAAACCGTACCAAGTACTACAAATACTAGTCGACAAGACGAGGCTGTTATTAAGCGAAGGTAAAATACTAATTTATTTGTCTAAAAAATGATTTTGTAAGATAGATAGATAATTAATTAATAATCTGAACGTTTAAGCTCAATAGATAAGCATCAATATTAAGCTATATTACATAAGAAAGTTAGATGTTTGTTTTGATGGATTGATCAAGGTTACTAATAGAATAGTTAGACAAAGTTCTTATGATAACCTACTTCACTAATATCATATATTGAATTACCAATCAATCGAAACACAAAGAAAAAAGAGAATCGAATTAAAATCTAAAAATATTACTTTCATATATATATAAAATAATATTTTTTTGTCGTTTTCATATATATATAAAATAATATTTTTTTGTCGTTTTCATATTATTTAAAAATATTTTTCGATCTATATAGATCAAAAAGAAAAAAGATAAGATTTTTCTAATTAAAACAATTCTTGTCGTCATTAACGAATAAAATAAACATGTCTTCTTTTATCCTTAAGGGATTTTCTATATATCATTATATCTGATAAGACAAACATTTAATAATATCTTTACATTGAAAATAACAAAAACTACTGCAATCAATAAACAAAAAAAAGAATACATAGAGAGTTAAGAAAATATTTCGTAAATATAATATGATAGTAGAAATTAATCATTAATTATCGGAAAGATGATCATTTTTTTTGTCAATGTCTAATATTATTGTTTTATTAAGATATGCCTTCGCTGACATTCTCGAAAGCGAACGTTCATATGTTGCTGATCTTCAACGTATTATTGAAATTTATCTATATGAGTTAACTCGTCAAGAATGTCCGTGGTTCGTCAAAGAAAAAAAAGATCTTCTTTTCAGCAACATTGAAGACATATTCGCATTCCATAAAGTGTACGTATAAAATAAAATAAAATAAATCTTTCTATATATATATGTGTGTATTTAAAGATTATTCTTAAACGATTTAACTAATGCTATTGAACATGATCCAAATGAATTGGCTTATGTATTTTTACGTCGACGAGATCAATTTTTAAATCTTTATTCTCAGTATATGTATGATCGTACACGATCTGAACATGTACTACAAACAAATCCAAATATTCAACGTTATTTCGATGAATTAAAACAACGATTAGGTATACAAACAAGTGATTTAACACTTAATAATTTACTTAATCGTCCTATACAACGACTTGAAAAATATAAGAATATTTTACAAGTAAGACAAAAAGAAGTTTTTCTGTTAATTTATTTATTTTCTTCTATCTAAATAGGAAATGATTAAATATACAAATCGTATGCGAGAGGATAGTTCAGTATTTCAACAAGCTTATACAATGATAAGCAATGTAATGAATGAAGCACGTCAACGTGATGCAACTGAACTTATTGATAATTTACCATTTACAAATGATGAATTAGGAGATTTAAAACGTCATGATGTTGTTTTAATTAAAACAACTGATCATGATCTTGATTCAATAAATGAAAATGGTGCACGTTTACGTGAAAGATTCTTATATTTATATCGTCATAAAATTATTTTATGTCGACGTAAACGTGTTGATAGTAGATTAGAACCAAAATCATTAGCTTTTAAACAAGCTTATCAGGTAAATATTTCAACGCAGAAAATTCATTTTTTTTTAAATTATTTTTTGTTTAGACAAATGAAATAACTTTTATACAAGAAAATTTTCCTGATGATGATAAAAAATTTGAAATTACATTTAATGATAATGAACGTGTTACATTTTATGCTCGAAATACTTTTTCAAAAATATCATTAGTAAGATCTTTACGAGATAATCTTAAATCTCTTGGTAAGATAGATTTCTTTAAGAAATAAAAAAAAATAATCGTTATTTTTATCGAATAGGTTTTGTGGAAGAAATTGAAATGATTGAAACAGCTGAAGGAGATGATGATACACGACAAAAACGTCCAGCAACAAAGAAACGAACAGTGGATGTTTTAGAATCATCAGTAAATTAATTTTTTTGTTAATTAAGAAAATAATTTTTTTTGATTTTTAAAGATGTCCGAACAACAAAAACGTGGTCGTTCATCCGGACATACAACAACATCGGGAGCATCGGATTTTTATTCAGTTGGAAGTGAAAGTGAATCAAGTTATCAAACTGCCGGAGAAAACGATGATTTCAAACCAAAATTTCTAAAAAAATTAAATGATTCATTAGCTACAGGTTAAATTAAAAAACTATTCAATCGATATTTTATTTCTTTTTTTTTCGTTTAATTATAGAGGGTGATTTTGTCACATTAGAATGTATAGTTATTAGTACAACACCAGTTCATGCTACATGGTTTAAAAATAATATACCTTTACAAGATAGTGCTGATTGTAGACAAGTACAAGAAGATAAACATTTTAAATTAATAATTAAAGTATATTTTTTTGTATAAATATGATTAAGATTATTTTTCATCAATTTGTTTTTATAGGAAGCTTTTGTTGAAGATGGAGGAATTTATTCGATAAAAATTTCAAATCATGCTGGAACAGTTACTTGCAGTTGTAAATTATTCGTCAAAGAAGGTTAGTTTAGAAAATAAAAAAAACCGATTTTTTTAAAAATAATTATTTGAAAATTAGAAATGAGTGATGAACGAACTATTCGTGAAGATTTAGTTATTCGAGAAGGTTCATCGCCGGAATCGAAAAAAGGTAAGAAACATAAAATTTATTCAATAAATATTTATTTTTTTCCAATTTAGAAACAACTGATAATGAAGATGAATTACGTATTACAGAAATGGCATATGATCAAGGTGGTGCATATAAAGTAACACCACATATTGGTCGAGCACCAATTTTTCTTCAATCACTTATGCCAATGATATCTAAAGCTGGTGATATTGTTACATTAAAATGTACTGTCACAGCAACGCCTATGCCATCTGCTACTTGGTTTGTTGAGAGATATAATAATGAATATGAATATCAAATTCTTTTTATTTTCAGGTATAAAAATGGACAAGAAATTCAAGCAGGTGGTCGTTATTCAGTATTTCATGATCAAAATGGAAACTATTCATTAGTTATATCTGATGCTTTACCACAAGATTCAGGTGCATATGAAATTACAGTACGAAATCAATATGGTACAGCAAATTCAAAAACAAATCTACAAATTCTTGGTTTGTTTATTTATTTTATATATATATTTGTTTAAGAAAAATAAACTTTCTTTCTTTTATTTATTTCTTATAGAACGTGAGAGTGTTTTTATTCCAATTCCTATAACACGTGTATCAACAGAAGAACATGGTACAGCTAAATTAGCATGTGCAGTTAAACGTTCGGATGTAAATGTTGATTGGTATAAAGGTGATCAAGCATTATTTATTGGACAACAAAATGAAAATACAAAATATAAACGTATTGATGATGGTTTACAGCGAGAATTAATTGTTAAAAATGTTTCATCCGATGATCAAGGAGATTATGTTTGTCAAGCTGATAAATATCGTGTAACACTTCATTTGAATGTTCAAGGTTTGTGTTTAAGAAAAATATCTTATTTTGTTTTCTGGAAAATATGAATTATGTTTTTTTTAAAGGACCTGCTGCTGATTTTGTACGTCCACTTGAAAATATTGAAGTAACGGAAAATAACGAAGCCATTTTTGAATGTCAATTAACAAAAGAAGATGCTCAAGTTGAATGGTGGTTTCGTGGACAACCAATAATTTCATCACAACATCATTTAATTGCATCACATGGTTTTATACGTCAATTAATTTTACCTAAAGTTGCAATGAATGATGAAGGAGAATATTCAATACGTGTTGATAATAAAAATACTTCAACAGCACAATTATTTGTTAAAGGTATTAACTAAAGCAAAAAACTCTTTTTCCTTAAATTTTCTTTTCGTTTTAGAACAACCAATTATATTTCGTCGTCCTTTGCGTTCACAAATTGTCGAAGAAAGTTCTTCAACAATATCAAATAGTGCTATTTTTGAATGTGAACTTAATAAGCCATTAAAACAAATGTTATGGTTTAAAGCAAATGTTCAACATTTAATTCCATCAGATAAATATATTATCGAATCATTTGCTAATGGTCTTATACATCGTTTGACAATACATAATGTTAATTTACGTGATGATGGAGAATATACAGCATCAACTGGATTAAATACATCACAAGCAAAATTAACTGTTGAATCTTTAATGCCAATATTTGTTGTACCATTAATGGATGCACGTGCAAATACACGTGAAACAGTTAAATTATCATGTGAAACAAGTAATGCTTGTCAAGTTGTATGGATGCATCGTGGAAAGAAAATTATTGAGAATAGTTATAAATATACACTAGGTAAGAAAAACCAAAATGTTTTTTTTCTAAAATTAATATATTTCGTTTTAAGGAAATTTTAATAATTCAACATTACATACTCTTGATATTGATAATTTGGAATTACGTGATCAAGGTGAAGTTTTATGTTCTATTGTAAATCATCCAACTGTTTCCACTACATGTCAATTAATTATTGAAGATGCTCAACAACAATGTAAAAATAATTTATTTTATTGTAAAATTAAAATTTATTTTTTATCTGATTTCTTTTAGCGGCATTCTATTCACCATTAAAACCATTTATGGAAATTGTTCGTGGTCAAGATGCTATACTTAATTGTGAAACATTTGATTCAACATATTTTCAATGGCTTAAAGATGGTACGACATTAATGGCAACAAGTAATAAATTTCGAACACTTGGTGATGATAAACATACAACATTAGTTGTTAAACAATTTAATGAACATGATGAAGGTGTTTATACATGTGTAACACGAGAAGGTCATTCAACATCAACAACACTTCGAACAGTTGATCATCGTGAACGAACACCACGTAGTGAAGAACGTTTTGGTTCATATATGAAAATTGATTCACCACGTACAAGTCGAACACCTGAATTAGGTGGATATCGTTCAAGTATGAGTCCAACACATAGTCGTTATGTTCCATCATTAGCTGAAGATAATGAACGACAACAATCACCACGTGTTGAAGAAACACGACGAACTAAAAAAATTACAATACAAGAAACAAGTGAACAACGTTTACCATCAACAGCAACTAAAACAAGTCAGATATATTAATTTATTTATTTTTTATTCTTGTTTTATTCTTTCTTATTTCTTATAGGTTCGGCAACATTTCGTCCAAGTTCAAGTCCAAGTCCACAACGTGAATATATTCGTAGTGGTTATTCATCAGGTACAAGTCCTGAACGAGAACGTTTATCAATGCCACGTCATTTTTCACCATCAACAACATATAAATCATCAAATCAATTACAAGATTTTGGACATTATATTGATCGTAGTTCAAAATCTCCATCGCCATCACCAACACGTAAAACAAATATGACATTTGCAAATATAACACCAACAACAAAAATGCCACCTGTTTATGAAGAACAAGATGAACATCATCGACATCGTTCATCCGTTACATTTTCACCAAGTCGATCACCAGCTCGACAATCCGTTGAAAGAAAAATCGTTGAAATGCAAATACCAATGAGGTAAAAGATTTTCATTTCAAAAAAAAAGTTTTTCTTTTATATATTTTATTATTATTTTTAGTCCAACATTATCACATCGTGAATTAAAACATGCACCATATCGTGAAGAATCTATTCCAGAAGAACGTTTACAATTTTATGATAGTGAAACGTATGATAAACAAACACCAATATTTCATCGAGAAGAACCTTATGGTTTAAATACATCACGTATACAAGTAACTGAAACAATACCAATCGTACAAATAACACAACCATTAGTTGATACACGCGTTGAACAAGGTAAACCATTACGACTTGTTGTTGAAACATCTCAACCAGCAAGTGAAGCTATTTGGTTTAAAACGGATATTTATTCAACAGCACCTAATCAAGCTAAAAAACTTGATGAAAGTGGAAAATATCATATGATAACACAGGGTACACGACATATACTTATTATACCAAATGCAACATCTGAAGATAATGGTGAATATATATGTCGTATACAAAATGCTATGACTCGTGCACAAGTACAAGTAACTAATGAAGATTTACAATTTATTCGACGTTTACCACAATCAATTGATGTTATTGGTGGACGTGATATTATTATTGAATGTGAAATGAATAAAATGGATACACAAGCGATATGGAAAAAAGATAATGAAATTATTCGAGTAAGATTGAAAAATAAATCAAACTATAATATTTCTTTTTTTCATTTATTTAAGATTCCTCAAAAATTTCTTCCAATGTCAGAAAATAAAAAACATCGATTAATTATTAAAGATGCAAGTACTGAAGATTCCGGTCTTTATACAGTTATTGTTAATGATCTTGAATCGACAACATATGTTAATGTTACACCTGAACCATTACTTATATTAAAACCATTACAAGATCAACGTGTACATTCAGGTGATACAGTCACGTTTACATGTGTCTGTTCTAAAACACCAAAAAATGTTCAATGGTATTTAAATGGTTACCCATTACCAATAAATGAACGTTATCAAACAAAATTAATTGATCGTGAAATACAATTAACAATAATTAATGTACAAGAATCTGATGTTGGTACAATAACATGTTGTTTAAATAATACAATAACAACAGCTAATTTAACATTAGATGATAAAGATAAAACATTAAAATTTATTAAATTATTAGAAGATGATGATACAGGAAATATTCAAGTTGATTCACCATTTATGCTTGAATGTCGAACAAATCGACCAACATATCAAATACGATGGTTTAAAGATAATAGAGAAATTAGTCAATTTGATCAAGTTATGAAAACTATATCAGATGGATGTACACATGTACTTCAAGTAAGTTAAATCAATTATTTTACTGAATAGAGTCATAGAATATCTATTTTATTAATTTTCTATGAACATAAGAGAAATTTTTTTAACTTTTTCGCCTTTGTTCTCAACCTCTCTGTCATTTTATATACGGAAGCAACTGGAGTTTTAGAATAGCTCATATATCATTTGAAGACATTGATATAAAAGAGAATACTTTGGAGTAAAACGGAAGTCATATGACTCAGAGCTGGGCAACTCAATTCATTTCATTTAAAAAAAAAGGAAACCGTTTGTTGGACTGAATTGTATACGTTAATTGTTGAGATTTTGCCTATTCCGATCAATACTATACCTGCTGCTTCGAAAAACCTACAAGAGTAACAATCATGAGATAGGAAAGAAAATTAAACTTTCTGTCGTGATTGTTTTAATGCAAAGTGTTGCACTATGTAATAAATAATTAAATAGTAATAGTGATAGAACAGATAACAAATTTGAATTCTTTTTAAATAGATATCTCGTGCACAGTCTGAACATAGTGGTCAATATCGATGTGTTGTTGGTGATCGTCTTGAAACTACTTGTCATATAACAGTTCGTGAACCTGAATTTCGTTTTACTCAATCATTACCATCAAATGTTCAATTTTCTCCACAAACTGATACATCATTAACACTTGATGCAACACTTAATCGTAAACCAAGTCATATTCAGTGGTATAAAAATGGTATCGAATTATTTCCATCACGAAAATATGAACTTGCCAATGAACATCATGTTGTTGCTTTAATAATACATGATTTAGCATCTGATGATCAAGGTTTATATCGTTGTGTTATTGGTAAAGGTCAAATAACAAGTGAATGTCAAGTATCAATGAATTTAATGAGTGAAAATGATCGTCGTTTAATCAAACCATTACAAGATCAAAATATTTATGTACATGATACATGTACATTAATTGTTCAATTTCAAGGTGATGCACCTGATGTTAAATGGTATAAAAATGGTCAAGAAATTCATTCAAGTCCAAAATATCGTTTCATACATCATGGAAATGAACAAACATTAATTATAAATGATTGTCAATTAGTACATGATCAAGCTTATTATAGTTTACGTTTAGCAACAAATACAAAACTTGATTTAACATCATGTTATGTTCAAGTTAAAGATAAATTTGTTAATATAACAAAACATCTTGAACCACAACGATGTATTCTAGGACAAGAACCACAGGTTTGAAATAAAAGATAGTAATTAGATATAAATCAATATACATTTCTTTTTAGGTTCAATTTGATATTGAAACAACTCCAACAGATAAAAAACCAATATGGTATTTTAATAATCGACAACTTGATAATACAACAAAATATGAATTAATATCAAATGATAATACACATCATTTATTATTTATTCATCAACCTGAATTATCTGATCAAGGACAATATACAGTTTCATTTCCTGAAAGTGATCAATCATCAACAGCTAATTTACAAGTTTTACAAACACCATCAACATTAGATTTTATTCAACCACTTGAAGAAGTATTTTTATGTGAAGAAGGTGATAATTTTGTTCTTGTTACACGTACAAATAAACCTACACATGTTAGTTGGATGAAAAATGGTTATAAATTATCTTTAAAACCAAAATTAGATTCATTACCAACCAATGAACATCGTTTATCAATTGAAAAAGCACAAAAATTTGATCATGAAGGTATCTATACATGTATAATTGATGCAAATAATATTGCAACACAATGTCAAGTTAAAATACTTGAACGTGAATTACAATTAATTCAACCATTACCAAAACAAATACGTTTAAATGAACATGATACATTAACATTAATATGTGAAACAAATCGTAAACCAAAAAAAGTACAATGGTTTAAAGATCAATCAAATATTCCATTGGAAACAAATAATTCATTAATGATTATCAATGCTGATGAAACATGTACATTAATTATAAATAATATTAATAAATTTGATTCGGGTACATATACATGTCGTCTTGAAGATCGTTTAATAACTGTTTCGGATGTTAAAATACAAGAATCAGCACCACAATTTATTGATGGACCACAATCTTATCTGATTTGGAAACGACGTGAAGATGGACCTGTTGCAACAATTAGTTGTACATTAAATAAACCAAATGTACCTGTTAAATGGTTTCTTGAAAATAAAGAAATTCAACCGAATTTAAATAATAAATTTGAAATTATATCTGAAGGTTCAATGCAATGTTTATTAATACATGATGTACAAAAAGAAGATTCAAATAAATATGTTATTTCATTAGGACCTATTTATCGTGCATGTCATTTAGAAGTTGTTGATGATGCGGGATTATCAACTGATGATGAAAATTCTGATCGACTTTTACAACCTTTAACTACACTTCAACGACAAGAAATTATGGAAGGTTTGTTGAAATTTTTATTTATTTAACCCTTTAAATATCAAGTGGGACTTATAAGCCCCACTTTTTTAAAATTCCGACTAGAAGAGACTTTGACGCACATATTTCTTACCATTACCGTAGGGGGGTACGGCTAAAAGTATTGATAATATCCAATGCTCATACGAAATGTCAAATTTTAAAGAGAATTCGTCCATAGGTTAAGTCATTGACGTCAAATATATACATATATAATTCATATATTACAATAACTCACTCCGAGATCTACATCTCTAACGTTTATAAATATTTTTTATATTAATTTCTATTTATTTTAAGGTGATTCTTTAACAATTGAAGTTTCTCCTGATACAAATATTCAATCACTTTCACCAAATCAATTTCGTTTATTAAAAAATAATCATCCTATAAATGATTATTCACGTATTAAATTTGAACGTGATACATCCATAGGAAATTTAAATCGATGGGTTATACATTTAAATGATGTTGATTTAACTGATTCAGGTGTTTATTCACTTGAAATAAATAATCAAGCACGACAAGATTTACTTGATTTATTTGTTAAAAAACGTCCAATACAACGACAATTAATAACATTACCTAAAGATGAATTTTATTTACATGAAACAATCACACTTGAATGTAAATTTGAACGACCAATAAAAACGAAAAAACTTCAACCAACATGGTTTAAAAATGGTCGTCCAATACAATCATCAAATCGTCATTTAGTTAATATTGAAAGTCAAATGCAAGATGGTCCAACAAAATATTCATTAACAATAAAAAATGTTGATTTTAGCGATGAAGGTGTTTATGAATTACGTAGTGATTATCTTGTTGTTGAAACTCCATTTATTCGTATTATTGAAAAACCTATTCAACCAACACCTGTACGTACAGTAACTGAAGGTGATAGTCTTCAAATTGATGTTAATATTGATCAACAAATCTCACCTGAAAATATACTTGATCAAATAACTGTTTTAAAAGATAATCGTCCAATAATAAATAAACCTGAAATACATAAATCATTTGATGGTAATCAATTTAAATTAGAATTAAAAAATTTAGCAATAAATGATCGTGGTTTATATGAAATTGATATTCAAGGACAACGTACACCGATTTGTTTACTTGATGTTAAAGAACGTCAACCAGAAGTGTTTCTACTTGAATTAGATCGAAATATATTTGAAGAAGGTGAAACAATACGTTTAGCATGTACATTTCCGCAACGACCAGGTCCAACATCAAATTGGTTTAAAGATGGACAATTAATTCATCCAAATGAAAATATTCAATTGATTGATGAAAATAATACATTAACAATTATTATACGAAATGCTAGACGTACTGATTCAGGTATTTATGAAGTTCGTATTGGTTCAGTTATTGCTCGAGCACCGATGATTCAAGTTTTACCAAAACAACAACAACCAGATATACCAATACAAAATGTTCGTGAAGGTGATACAGTTACATTATCAGTTGAAGGTTTACAACCTAATATTCGACCTCAAGATATACATTTATTAAAAAATGGAAGAAAAATAATGCCATCAGAAAAACCCAAAGTAAAATTTTTATATATTTTTATTTTAATTTTAGTGTTTTCGATTTGTTTAGATATTAATTAAACGTGAAGATGATAAACTTCGTATTATATTACAAACATTAGGACTTGATGATTCAGCTTTATATAGTGTACAAATACAAAATGATATGCATCCATTAGCACAAATTGAAGTTGAACCACGTCAACCTGAAATTCAAGAAATGCAACTTGAACAAGATACATTTTTTGTTGGTGATACCGTTACACTTGATTTAGAATTTACAAATGAACCAACTGAACTACCACGATGGACGAAAGATAATATTCTACTTAGAAATAATGATCGAGTAACTATTGAAAATGTTGGTAATCGAGTTACTTTGATCGTACGAGATTTACGATTAGATGATGCTGGTAAGTTAAAATTATTTGTAACAAGAAATTTTCATTATAAATTTTATTTTGTAGGTATTTATGAAGTTCAAAGTGGTCCATTAATTGTTCGTACACCATTTATAAATGTTATTGAACGTGAACAAGATGTAACTGAAATTGTTGATGAAACTGTAACATATACAATTACACCAAATCCTCCTGTACAACCAATTGATACAAAAACTTGTACTATTAAAGAAGGAGATAATGTGACACTTAAAATAGCTTCACAAACTCCAATAACAGTTCATGATGTACAATTATTTAAAAATGGTCAACCAATAATATATGATAATGAAACATTAAAACATCTTAAAATTGAACAAAATGGACCTAAAGATGTTCGTTTAAATATAATCAATGCTCGTTTAAGTGATACAGGTGATTATAGTGCATTAATCAATGGTAATATTCAACCAATAATAACACTTCATGTTCAACCACGTGAAATGCAAATACAAATGATTGATTTACCACAAGATACATTTAATGAAACTGAAACATTAAGAATTGATTGTCAATTTCTTCAACCAAATATAAATAAAGATTATAAATGGTATAAAGATAATCAATTAATAATACCAAATGAGCATACTGAAATACAAAAAGATTCATTAAATGATTTATTAATAATTCATAATTTAAAATTAACTGATGCTGGTGTTTATGAACTTAAAAATTCGAATACTATTTTACGTACACCACCTATTAAAGTTCTTCCATATCAACAAACACCAAATATTCAACAATTACGATCACAAGTGGCTTCAAAACTTGTTCATGAAGGTAAATATTATTTATTATTTCTTTTTTAAAAACACTTCTTTTCTTCTTCTACTTCTAGGAGATACTGTTACATTTGAATTAGCACCTAATTTTGATGTACCATTAAATAAAATCGAATTATTTCATGAAGAAAATCCAATAACACATGAACCATATGTTCATATGACAAAAGATTATAAAACAAATTCAATTACAGTACAAATTGAAGATATTAAAATGCCTGATCATGGTTTATATACAGCTGTTGTACAAGGTCAATCGGTACCATTAGCTGAATTAATTGTTGAACCACGACCATTAGTTATACAAAATATGGATTTACCAAAAGATGTTTTTTATACGGATGAACGTCTTGAACTTGAATGTGAATTTCCACAAGTACCTAAAGGTGAACAACCACAATGGTTTAAAAATAATCAACCATTACAATCAACATCAAATGTTCATATATTAACTGAAAATAATGGACGAAAACATTCATTAATTATTGAACATTTAAAACCTAACGATACAGGACATTATGAATTAAGAGTTAAAGGTTTAATTGTTCGAACACCATTAATACGTGTTATTGAACGAGAACAAATACAAATTGATGAACAACCAACACCATATATTGTTACAGAATTTGATGATGATCAAAATAGACTTAAACCACAAACAGCACAAAGACGATTAAGTAATGTTATGATTGAAGATATTACTGATCAAGAAAATATTTCATGTAAGTTTAATATTAGATTATAAAAAAGTATTATCTCTATTTATAATTAGATCAACCATCATTTTATGAAGATACCCAACGAGTTCAAGAAGGTGATTCAATTAAATTCAAAGTTGTTAGTACACTTGATGTAAGACCAAATCAAATTCATGTATTACATAATGGTTTACCAGTTGATATGAAAAAACGTCCATCAATTACTGTTGATCGTGTATCACCTGGTACATATAATGTGTCGCTACTTAATGTTCGTGTATCAGATTCTGGTCGTTATGAATATCAAGTTGAAGGCGCACCGGAACCTAAACATTTAGTTACACTTTATGTTGAACCACGACAAGTCAAAGAAAAAATTCTTCATTTACCACAAACAACATTTAATATTGGTGAATCAATTTTAATGAAAATTGATTTTGATGAAAATGATTATATTGCTGAAACACCAAAATGGTATAGAAATGAAATGCTTATACCAATTGGTAATAATACTCCAAGACATAAACAAATTACAGATCTTACTAATCGTACACATACATTTGAAATATTTAATTTACAAGTTGAAGATACTGGTGTTTATGAAATGCGTACATCACATTTAACTGTTAAAACACCTGAAATTAAAATTATACCGAAACAAAAGGAAGAAGAAATTATTCCAGAACAAGTTAGTCGACAATCATCGATTACAATTGATATGAACAAACACAAAGAACAACCACTGTAAGATTAAAAGAATATTTTTCCTATAGATATAATGAGTACTATTATTTACATACAGAAAAATACTGAATTATCTCATAGAGAGAGGAATCTAACTGACAGAATTTATTTTCTTAACTAATGAAACTAATTTGTTTTTAGTGAAGCAAAACCATTTGAAGAATTTCTTCCAGTTGAAGATATTACACCTATTCATGAAGTAACTGAAGGTGATATGATGCATTTAACTGTTGAAAAACCTTCAACTGTTCCATTATCAAATATAAAAATTTTGAAAAATAATCAACCATTAAGTCCATCAAATAATATTCATATTCAAGCAACATCACCAACATCTATTGATATTAAATTTTCACCTGTTGAATTAATTGATCAAGGTTATTATTCTATAAGTATTCGTGATCAAATTCAACCAATAATGCAATTGAATGTACGTGAAAAACCTATTCAACGACAAATTATGAATTTACCACAAGATACATTTATTGAAAGTGAAACATTAACAATTGAATGTAAATTTGATGTTAAACCTGATACACAATTTGTTTGGACAAAAGATGGTTCAATATTATTGAATGATTCAAGAATAAATATTAAACAAAAAAATGAAACATTTACTTTAATTATTAAAGATTTAAAACCATCTGATCAAGGTGTTTATTCACTTGAAAGTAAATATTTAATATTAGATACACCATTTATAACTGTTTTACCTAAACCACATCAACCAACTGTTGAAATTGAACATGAAGAAACTACAATAACTATACAAGTAATATTTTGATATTTAATTTTACTTTTTTAATTATTTTTTTTTAGCCAAATGTATCAGTTACAGATACAAAAGATGAAACAGAAGAAGTAATTATTACACAACAACCAGCTAAACAAATTCAAGCACCAACAGCAATTATTCAAAGTGAAGATAATCAAATCGATGAAACAGTAACAACAACAACAACAATTGAAGGACAACAACAACCAACATTTCAAGCAAATTCATCTGCTATTCAACCAGAACAAACTACAGAAGAAATTACTGTTCAAACTCAAGTAAATTATTTCAAAAATAAAATAGATTTTTATTTTCAATTTATTATATTTTTAGGTATCAGTTCCAACTGAACAACCCATAGAAGTAAAAACAACAACAACAGCAGAAGAAATTCAACCTGAAGCAACAGTAACTGTTGTTGAACAACCAAAACCTACAGTTGAAACTGTAGAGACAAAAGAAGAAGAAAATATTTCAAGCACAACTCAAGTTGAAGAACAACCTGCATTGCAATTTGCAACTGATGCATCATCAACTCAACCAGAAACAAAGGAAGAAGTAAGTTTAGTTTTTTTTGTTTTGTCGTTTGTTATTGTGTGCTGCGAATACGAAAAAGAAACGTTTATCTTTTGCGCGTATTTAAAAACTAGATGGTATTCGAGTTTCACTCGTCTACGAAATGCAATGCGAATAGCAGAATTTCGGAATCACGATTTTAAAATTTTCAGAATATTATCTAGATGATTCATTATCTATTATCAGCTGCACTGTCAGCTGTGAAAACAGTTGTTAGAGAAAAATGGCGCCTAACTTTTGCTTTTACTTTTCGTTTTAATTATCTCGAAATTTGAACAAGTCAAAATCGTGTTTTTGTGACGCTTCCTGTAAACGAACTAGACGTCCTATAGAAAGTCAAAAAACATGTCATATTAGTTCGATCTCGATATTTTATTCTTGCGTTTAAACGAGTAGTTTCTGATGTTGCATTGCTAAGATAATCGTGACACAAAATGACCACTTTGAATGCGTATTGCGTACGTCGAGAAAGAAAGAAAAAAAGGAAGAAAACTCGCGCAGGACTACATAAATGCTTCTGCTATTCGCATCGCATTAATAATATCTAATCGAAGTACAACATATTTTTGTACTATGGAAACAAGAAACAATTATGCAATTTCGATAATTAAATCGATCGTAAACGAAAATTCTCTATATTGGTTTTATCTAGCTTTATAAATATATATATATACGCATGTAAAAAAATATCGAATGAAATACGTATTTATATTTCGAAACAAACATAACATATTTCTAGTCATCGATATCAACCGTAATCGAAACTACTCGAGAAACGAAATCAATTGAAAAACCAAAAGTAACTTCACAGGTTATAACAGAAGAAAAGACTGTTGTTAACGAGCAAATACAACAGGATACTAAAGAACAAAACCTTGACGTTACAATAAATACTGACAAATCAGATGAAAAGGTAATATTTGAAATAACGAAAAACATACAACTGTCGAATTTACAAAACTATTTGCAGACTAGCTTTACTACTAATGTGACAAGTTCTCATGAACAACCTAAATCTATAGACAAAACTGATGAACAGATTACTACTACTGTATCAGTTGATCAAAAGAAACCAGAAATACCTGTTTCTACTCTACAAAAATCAAATGAACAAAAAGAAACGACGACGACAACAACAACAAACACAACCACAAGCACAACCACAGAAAACATAATCGAAAAACAACCAGAAAAGAAATCCGATGTTCAAAAGTCAACTTTTGAACAAACAGAACAAAACGTTCAGAAGGATGTACCATCTGTAAAAGAAAAGGTAGAACAGCCTACAGAAACAAAACCAATTGTTGAAGAAAAACTGACATCATCGACTACAACTATTAAAGAGGAGACAGCACCAGTTGAAACCGCTTCAACTACTGAAGAAGTTACCACTATTGAAAAAGTTATAGAACGAAAACCTACTCAAGAAATAACAAGTACTGTTCAAAAGAAGAGTACTGATGAACAACAAACACCAACCGTAACTCAATCCGTTGAACAAGTGACAGAAATAAAAACGGAGGTTCCTCAATTATCGTCTATAAGAACTGAAGAAAAAACCGAGAGTATTGAAGAGCAACTCGATTCTATTCAACAACCATCCATAAAGAAAACTACTCCAGTAGTTGAGGAAAAAGTTAACACTACAACTACTACTTCGGTTGTTGAAGAAACTACTACTACTGAAGAAGTTGTTAAGGAAAAGCCGAAGTCTTCGACTACAACTATTGAAGAGATAACGAATACAGAAGAACTCATTCAAAACAAAAAACCACAAGTTGTAGAACAACTTGAACGTCCAATTACAACTGTTTCAACCATTGAAGAGGATACGAAAGAAAAACCTAGTCAAAAAATAACAACAACTATTCAAGAAGAGACAACTATTGATGAACAGAAACCAATAGTAACTCAGCCAAAACAATATGAGACTAAAGTAGAAGAAAATGTTCCTGAAACATTCACTACAACTACAAAAATCGAAACGTTCGAAGAACAGTTGGCTACTGTTGAAAAACCAACTACTGAAGAAACTATTAAAAAAGAAACTATGACTATCACTGATACTAAGCCAATTATGGAAGACATAGTTGCTACTATAGAGAGTGTATCACAAGAAACTGTGCAAAAGAAACCGACTGCAACTATAGAAGAAGTAACGACTACAGAAGAAACTATTGAAGAAGAACGAAAGCGTCCTGTTGAAACTACTTCAACTGTAGAAGAAGTTACCACTATTGAACAAGGTGTAGAACAAAAACCTGTTCAACAAATAACAAGTACTGTTCAAACAAAAAGTACTGATGAACAACAAACACCAACAGTAACTCAATCCGTTGAAGAAGTGACAGAAATAAAAAAGGAGATTCCTAAATCATCGTCTACGCTTAAAGATCAAATAGAATACCTCGAGCAAATACTAGCGTCTATTGATCAACCAAATGTAGAGACAACAGTTACAGAAGAAGAAGAACTTACCACTGACACAGAAGAATTAATCCAAGAAGATGTACCTCGCAAAACAGAGGAGACACAAAAACATGCTGAAACAAGACCAATTGTTAAAGAATTTCTAGAAGAAAAACCAGAAGTCTTGAGCACAACTACTGAGGAAAATATCGAAGAAGAGAAGGTACCAACTGAAGATTTGCCAAAACGATCTGTTGAAACTACTTCAGCTACTGAAAAAATTATACAAAATAAACCTGTGCAAGAAATAACAAGTACTATTGAAGAGGAAACTACTGTTGAACAACAGATACCAAAGATAGCAGAACGTACTGAAGTATCTATCACAAATAAAGAAAATGTTGATATTGTACAAGAGGAGATAATACAACCAAAAACTGTTCCAACACTTACTGAAACTGTTACTACTGCTACGGAAGAAACAATTCAAGAGACACTACAACCTGCAGAAACAGTGTCTATTACGGAAAAAGGTGCAGAAAAGAAACCAAACGCATCAAATACAACTATTGAAGAAGTGACAACAACAGAAGAAATTGTACAACAAACACCTGCTCAGTCAACACCCGAAGTAACTGAGACAGAAAAAACTGTTTCTGACATACCATTTGTTACAACGACTGACGAACAGTTAAGTTCTACTGATAAACGAATTATCGAACAGCCTTACACTGAAGAAGAAAAAGAAGAGGTAACAACAATCGAACGTACTCCAACAGTAAAGAAAACTGTTACCACTACTACCGAAGAAACTATTATGGAAGATGTTCCTTCTCAAATAGAGGAGTCACGAAAACAGAAGAAAACACCATCTGTTACTGAAAAAACCATCACTTCTGAAGAAGTATCGGAAGAAAAACCGAATGTGGCAACTTCAGCTATCGAAGAAGTCACTACTGAAGATCAAAAAGTAAAACATCCTCTTGAAACGACTTCAACAATTGAGGAAACTACAACTGTGGAAGAAACTACTGATACTCCAGAACAAACAGTCACAAAAGAAGAAGAAGAGAAAACAACAGTA